CTTATTACGGAGCAAGATTCCGCCTGACCTCCGCCCCCCTCCCCCCCGGGCCCCGGTTCCCAGCCGCGGGACGGCCCCGCTGCGCAGGCGCGAAGACGCCCTGGCCCAACGTGCGTGTGCCGGGTGTGTATACAGCGTCGGGATTTGCCCAATGGGAGTCGGGCTCAGGTGTGGGGGCGGGACCTCGCGAAGGGGGCGGGGCTCCAGCGTGAGAAGGTGGGCGGTGCGGCCGGAAGTGGGCTGGGTTCTCATGGAGGCGGAACTTCACCGTCAAACGCAATTGGCTTTTTGAGGTTTGTGCCGTTTTAGGGCTTGGCTTTAGTTTGATTCTAGCTCCAGCCCTCACAACTTACTGTCTCGGAGGAGGAAGCTATATTTTCTCAGTAAATTATATGAGAGTTTTGATTCAAGCGTACATTTAGGAAAAAGATGTGTTAAATGTTAAGTTAGTGTTCAAGATTAGACAGTATGCTGTAGTTTACAATCGATGTTAATACCGGTTTTTCTTTCTTTTTTAAAATTAGTACGTGTTTGCTATAGATAATGTACATTCGTTGTGGGGAGTTAACACATGCATATAACACATCTTGATTCTTTTTCTCATCTTCCTTTGTTTCTCACCCCTCCGTCGGTGATCCCCTTCTCGTTGGAGAAAATCTATCTCCCTACTTCTTAGTACCTATATTCTGTTTTGCTCTTTATTTATAATTGGGTTTCTCATATGAGAGAAACCATGTGATATTTATGCTTGTGTGTCTGACTTACGTATCAAGGTCATCCATTTTCCTACAAATAACTTGTTTATCTTTCAGTATGGCAGAGTAGTACTCCATTGTGTATGAATACTATATTTTAAAATCCATTCATCTGTTGATGGTTATATAGTTTGCTTCCAAGCTTTGGCTTTTGTGAATTGTGCTGCTATAAATAAACTTGAGTATGCACGGCTCGCTGTCATATGATCTCTAACTCTTTTGGGAAGACACCTACAAGGGGCATAGTTGGGTCAAATGGAATTCTTTTAGTTTTTTGAGGCTTTTCCATAGTAGTTGAACTAGTATAAACTCCCACCAAAAATGTAGAAGTGTCCTAGCAGCCTCACCAGCCTTTGTTACATGAATTCTTGATGGTGTAATTGTTCTTTCTGGGGTAACATGGAATCTCACTGTTGTTTTAATTTGTGTTTCTGTAATGGCCAGCAATGTTTGAGCCTTTCGTCATATATTTACTGCCCACTTGTACTTCTGTGAAGCGTCTGTTCATTTCACTTGCCCATGTTTTGATTGGGTCTTTTATTTTGGAGGGAATATAATATTTTGAGTTCTTTATATGTTATAGATATTAGTCCTGTGTCTGAGGAACTGTTGGCAAATATTTTTCATATTCTGTAGGTTGTCTTTCCACTCGGTTGTTTCTTTGCTGTGCAGAAGCTTTTTAATTATTAACGATTGACTCCAGGTACTATATCCCGTGGGTTTTGTTCAGAAAGTTCTTGCCTACCATAGGCCTATGACTTCAAGAGCTTTACCTATTTTGCTTCCAGCAGGTTTAATGTTTCAGTTTTAACATTTACTTCTTTGATCCATCTTGATTTTAGTTTAGTATATGGTGAGAGAATATTAATTTAAGATTCAATCCTCTGGATGTGGCTAGTTTTCCCAACACCATGTATTAAAGAGATTGTCTTTCCTCCAGTGTATGTCTTTGGCCCCTTTGTCAAAGATCAAATAGCTGAATATGCTTGAAAAAGATAGCTTTCCCCCAACTGTAGTGTTGAAATTACTTTTGGAGATAATAAGTTTCTATACAAGTGACAGAGAAGTTAGGGCTGCTTAATACTGTTGTTTAGAGTCTGATTTTTAAATCCTTTTTTAGAGTCAAAGCCACACCAGATAATGCAGACCATTCTGGAAATCTTCTTCCACCTTCAATTGGAAATGAGGATGTTGAGATTTTTCCCATTCAGCCATTCAACAATATCTGTAAAGTGAGGCCCAAACTCTAGGATCCAGCAAGGTGATTTAGAGAGCTAAAGGCCAGCCCAGCAAAGCCATGTGGTTCTCATAGTCTGAGGTTAAGGGAGGTTGGATGCCTTGTTAAGAAATGGTCAACTGTGGCTGTAGCAGAGGTCTACCTCTTGAACCTCTCTTGAGTCTAGTGGATGGAGGGTGGCTGGAAAAATAATTGACTTATTCAAGAGTACTGCTGATGGAAATGGGAACCAATGATGTCTGTCAGAGCAGAGGGAGAAAGAAGATGGCCCTGACCAAAGGAAGAATAACTAGCAACTGGCAAAGTCTGCTCTTCCCTGGGTTTTCTAATTTCTTACAGCATTTTAGAGATGAGAATACTAAGGTCCTAGGAAGTTAACCTGATGTGTTGGAATTTATGTACAGAAAGTTCACGCATTACACACTCCGCAACTAGAAAAATATTTTTAAAAGGTTTGTAAATGTGGATTATAGGCATAACTCATGAATTCTTACAAGACATGGAGTTCATTTCATGCCGATTAGGTCATTCACTTCTGAAAACAGACATAGTTGTGGTTGATACCATTTCTGGAGAGGAGCAGTGAGACGCTCATATCTTTGCTAAAGCTTAAGTGAGTGGAGGAAGCATAGATTCTTTGCATACTTGGTAATTCACAAACGTCACTGAGGCCTTTAACTGAGATTTCCATTCTGCTTCCTTTCCACCGTCCTTAGAGCGGGACAGCTAAGTTGCAGATTTTGAAAAAATAATTATTCGGTCATATTAACTGAACAAATTAGTAGTTTTCACTGTGGAATTTCCATACATACGTATGTGATTTCTTTGATCATATCCACCCTGTCCTGCACCCTTCGTTGCCCTCCGTGGCTCTCCTTCCCCCCTCGCACCCTCCTAGAGCCAGATTTTTAAAAATAGTGTTGAAGTGTAATCGACATACCATATATGCAACATGTTTAAAATGCACTTTCTCCCTGCCTCCTACACATAAGCAACTAGTGATCTACTGTCTTTAGTTTAGGTTTAATCTTCATTGTCTAAACTTTATTATATAAAGACATTCATAATATATATCCTTGTATGGTTGGTTTATTTTGCTCGCTGTAAATATTTTGAGATTCATCCATAGTCTTTGTACAGTCATTCATTCCGTTTTTTTTTTTTGATAAGTCTATTCCATTGCATCGACGTACTGCAGTTTATTTATCCACCCATCTGTTGATGGACAGTCAGGTCACATCCAGGTTTAAATTATTGCCAGTAGAGCTACTGTGAAGATTTGTGATCAGAGAAATATTTGTGAATATGTATTTCCTTTTCTCTCGGGTAAATATCTGGAAGTAGATGGCTGGATCATATGGTAGGTGTATGTTTAACTTTCTAACAATTTCCTATGTTACTGAACAGTTTTACATTCCAGTAAGGGGTATGAGAACTCAAGTTTCTCTGCATCCTCATCAACCCTTGGTATTTTTATTTGTGGTTTCTCTTTTGCTTATTTGTTTGTTTATTCGTTATTGAGACAGGGTCTTGCTCTGTAGTTCAGGCTGACCTTGAACTCACTATGTAGCCTAAGCTGGTCCCAAACTCATGGCAATCCTCCTGCCGCAGCCTCCTGAGTACTGGGATTACACGTGTGCTTCCCTATACCCAGACGAACACTTGATATTGTCAAATCCAGCTATTCTAATGATCTGTAGTTGCTTCTTGTAAAAAATTAGTTTTATTCATACATTTTAGATATACATAATGATAACACTCATCGTATAGAATTTGTATTTGTATATGATATATCTTGATTCCTCTTTTTTCCCACTGCCTCCCCTCCCTTCAACCTCTCTTCCCATCCTTGTTTACAAAAGCTTTGTTTCCATTTTTTCCTTCTATTCTCTTTTTAACTTTTCCCTTCCTTTTGTTTCTCCCTCTTCCCTCCCTAATTCCCCTTTCTATTTGAACATTTTCTGCCTATTTCACAATATCTACTGTACATTTTGGTCCTTATTTATACTTTTGGTTTCTCATACCAGAGAACAATGCAGTATTTATAGATGTGTATACAATTTACTCAATTAAGAATATGGTCTCAAGGTACATTCATTTGCCAGAAATGGCTCAAGCTTCTCCTTCTTTATGGTAGAGTAGTACTCCATTGTATAAAAAAACCACATCTTCTTTATCCATTCATGGTTGATGGGGATTTGGGCTGTTTCCAAGATTTAGTTATTACAAACTATGCTACTATAAGCATGAGTGTGCATATATCACTATGATATGATGCTTTTATTTATTACAGGAAAATACCAAGAGGGGGAATAGCTGGAACCTGTAGTCCTAGCTTTTTGAGGAATCTGCACACTGATGTCCACAGTGGTTATGCCTGTCTACACTCCCACCAAGAGTGGACAAGGGTTCCTTTTTCACCAAAGCACCACTAGCATTTGTTATTAGTTGATTTTATGATGATAGCCATCCTTTTGGAGTGAGATGGAATCTTAGTATTGTTGAATCTGCACCTCTCAGTTGAGCAGCAATATTGAATTTTTTCATACATATATTTACCATTTCTACTTCTTCATCTGAGAAGTGTCTATTCACTTCAGATGCCCATTTTTGGACTGGGTCTTTACATTTGGAAGGTGTGATTTCTTTGTTTTTTGAGTTCTTTATATATGCTAGATAGTAGTCCTTAGTCTGAGGTGCAGATGACAAAAATGTTTTTCCACACTGGGTTGTGTCTTCACTCTGTTGGTGGTTTCTTGTGCTCTGCAAAAGCTTTTTAGTGAGATGGTATTGTGGTTGTTGATTTTTTGTGATATTTCCTGTGTGATTGGTGT